CCTCCAGACAGCCCCAGGAGGCAGATTTGGCCAAGAACACCCAGCCAGATTCCCTGGAGGGCGAAAGGGGAGGGAATCTGAAAACACGCTAACAGCCACTGCAGACACCATGCTGCTTGTGAGCAGATGAGCGACCGCAGGAGTGTTGAGACTTACACCTAAGTTTTGAGAAAACACCAGTTCTTCAGTTGAATCACAAACGCCTTCCATTATACAGAGATGATCAAAGCTTATCAGTACCACAGATGGGGGGGGGGGGAGGTGTGAGAACTAGCCTACAAATGTCGCACCTGGCCAGGTGTCACTTGATTTGCCAACGTCAGCCCAGAGGGGATCAGTGGACCACTTCCCGTGTTTTGCCGTGCCTTAGCTCTCCTTTCCACTCCACACTGTCAGTCCCAAGTGCAAACCCTCTCCCCATGGTCCTTGACCAGATTTTTCCTTTGGTGGGATGACGGAAGGGGCACTCCGCTTTCTTACTGGACCAAGAGGAACCTCTTGCATCCAAGTTGACCCCCTTGAAAAACAGCCTAGCAAGGTAGCAAGCTTTTGTCAGGCTTCTGGTGTGCCCTTTTCCTGATGCTTGCTGTGGGAAAAATGATCTGTCTGAGGGTGTGGTGGAATCTCCAGAGTCTTGTAAGCATTGAGGTAGCGAGAAATTGGATTGTTCCTTTCTTTGTTCTATATCGTTCACCTCTTAGAGTTCCCCATTAGCTTATTTGTGTGTGCACAGAATCAAACCTATTTTTCCCGGTTTGTTCTTTGACTCGGATTATTTCCTCTCCTGAGCCTGTCGCTTATGCATAGTCTACCCCTTAAGAGAAGGATGGGGAGGGGTTGCGGTCTCACGTGCATCTACACTATGTTCAGTAGGGAAGGTGATGGGCTGACTTAGAGCAGTCAGAGATGCCTAAAGTCTCTTAAGTGGTGGCAGATTCTTCTGTAGGTATCTGGTTACACCCATGAAGTCTCAGCTGTGCTTACACAGCAAATAGCAAATCCAGGGGACAGGTGACGGTAACACCTTGAGCTGCCTGATCTCTGGTCTCTGTGCAAAGACTGAGAGATTCTTATTCAGTCATGGCAATCACAGCTTACTGGTTAACTAAGTTATTCATTAGAGGCCAGGAGCTCAGTTGCAAGCAGTTATTGGCAGGACTCGGCTGCAACCTTTGTGTCTGAGCTGTGTTCTTTCGTAATTCTTCTTTGTCCATGGAAATGTATGACTAAGTGGTCCTGTGGTTTGGAGGAAAGGGTGTTGGGATGGAAGGTTCCCATCTCTGCTGAGCCATGAAGTTCACTAGGTGGTGTCAGGTCAGTTACTTTCTGTTAGCTTAGTGGACCTCCTGGAAGCTGAGGCAGGGGTAACCAGCCCTTATGCCCACGGTGGTGCCAACCTTATTGCAATGTGCAATGCAAAATATATGCTATTCTCATTTGTTCTCTAATTGACTGCGTAAATTCAAATCTGTGCTCAGGTGTAAAGCTTATTAAGAGACCTTGGGTGTGTCCTTCGATCTTGCCCACCTCACAGGCTCAATATGAGGCTGAAACAAAAGACCACCCCCATCAGCCACAAACTCTTTGGCACCAGGTAAATTCTCCCTTTGTTAGGTGAGGGTTGTTGTTTAATGGGGACATCTGTGGTTGCCTTTGATCTGTCCTTTGCCACGTTGGCACAAGCAGGAACTGTTATCAAACGCTTGCTGTCAGATTTTGAGCAGTCCTGCAGGTGGACAAGGAGGATTGGATGGGGGAGCCTGAATAAAGAGATCAGCCGCATTAATTTCCCAAAGTTGTGCCTTGTTGTTTTAAAAACACATATACCACCATTCCTATATTCAGAGTGGCTTAGTCTTAAAAGAAATTAAAACTAATTGAAACAGATACAGTACCAAACTAAAGAAGTGCAAAATATCAGTTAATCGTTAAAATCCCTGCAAAACAAGATCATTCACTGGCCCCGAAGGAGCTTCTTGTACGTCTCCTGGTAGGCCAGTCCACGGAGTGGGGGGCCACCACCAAGAAGGTGTTGTTATTACGCTTTCGACCAGCAAGTTGAAGGGTGCCATTGGCAAAGCCCTCCAAGAGGATCTCAGATGGCAGCCTCCCAAGAGGATCTAAGATGGCACGTGGCTTCATACTGAGCAAGGAGGTTCTTCAGGTATGTGGGTTGGTCCCAAATCATGAGAGGGCTTTATCGGTAAGAAGCCATGGCTTGCATTGAACATGGAACCTCTGTAGTAGTTTCAGAACTGGAGGGATATCCGTGTCTCCCCTGGCGTAGCCAGCAATTCAGGAGCCGTGTTCTTGACCAGCTGAAGATTCCAGATGGTCCTTGAGAGCAGTGGCCTCACGCGGAGCGTATTGTGGCGGCTTGAGGAACACAGGCTGGCTTCCTCCTGCCCCACTGCACTTAAAGGAGTGCCTTCTTTTCTCACGCCATTAGGAGTCGGAGGCACCATGTGCTCTTGAATAGGGTGCTTGGAAAGTGGAGAGCAGGGTGTGGGCTTGAGGCACGGGTTGCACTTCCTGGGCCTGTCGCCAGCAATCCCCCCCCACTTCCAACAGCTTTGTCTACTTGCATTCCCTGGGAACAGCCTCAACGATGTGGAAATGTCTTCCTGTCATTCCAGGATTCGGGCCATTCGGAGAGCATTCGGTGAACGCCAGCTGGATAGCAGTTCAGGTAACTGACAACGCTCTCGGTAGCTTCTTCCTAGCATGACTGTTCCACTTGAGCTTTGTGCTGCTGCCCTGCTTCTCCCCCCTCCCCCAGCAGTCTGTCTCCTCCAGACACCCCACCAAAGGTTAATCAGTAAAGTTCTAATCCAGGGTTTATAACTTACCTGGCTGCCTCTGGTGGGGGTTTACGATACCTGAGAGGCTTAGCAGGAAAACGGTACAAAAGTTGGTTCTTGGTTTGGTCCGCCTGGCTGCATGCAGGCTCGAGGTGTGGAATCTATGGGATCAGGGGCCCTTTGCTGTTGCTGCAGGCCGGAGCCTCCGTGGGACTGAACAGCCGCGTGGGTTGTCCCAGGGATCAGGAGGACCGGGAGGTTGCTGGCAGGACTGGGACCCAGCGTAATGCAGCCTCGTGTCCTCCTCCGACTTCTCCCACCAACTGCATTTCGTGTTTTGGTTCAGGGTGGACCAAATGGTATTTTCAAGAGCCGCTTTCCTGGCCTACCCTTCCAAAAGTGAAAGTGGAGCTCTGCAAGGTGGTGGCATCAGAAAACTGCCTTTGGGGGAGCTGAAGGGGAATCCGCTGAACCAGGGGCTTCTGCGGAGGCGGCCCTCCTGGAAGGGGAGGTGGGGAGATGCCTGAAAAGTAGCTGAGCGACGGACCCTCAAACTCCCCACACACCTGGGAAGTCATGCCTGAACTGTGCCCCTCTCTGTAACCCAGGTCCCTTGTCCTAACATCATGCCCCCGAGCCGCTGCCCAATGTCACCTGGTCTCAGCTGCTGTTGTTTGGTGCCCCTCGGAGGCTTCCTGATGCAGTTTGTGGGGACTGCCGGCTGGCCTCCGTGGCGATGCCGTCAAGGTGTGCTGGGTGTTTGAGGTCAGCCTGGCACCAGGCCTTGCACGGTTCACTTGCTCGGGAATGCCCCGGAAGGGATCCTGCCCTTTACCTGCACCTTCGTGGAGACCAGTTGCCAACTTCTCTTGTGGGGTGGTCTGTTTGTTTGATAATAGAGATTTTATTTACATTTAAACATATGTTTTAGAAATCTTTGACCCAAATGGATCCACAACACTTTTAAAAGAAGTTAAAATTGCTTCCGGTAAGACCACACAGCCAGTAGGACAATGAATGCCTGACTAGTCAATAGGATGAGAGAGACCATCCCGCGGGGAAAGGATCCACTCAGACATAGGCAGTTGGCCTCTCTTTGAGGGCTGCCCTTTCCCCCCTGGACACTGATGGGCAGAAGGCTCAGCACAGTCAAGAGCCACAGCTGTTTCACAATTAACTTATGGGACCCACTGCCACAAGGTGCAGTGATGGGATGGATACCTTGAAAAGGGGATTAGCTAAATTCATGGTGGCCAAGAGGCCGTTGGTGGCCAATAGCCCTGGTAGCTGAACAGAACCTCAATGGTTAGAAGCAGTCTACCTCTGAATGCTGATTGCTGTGTCTTGATCCTGTCCTGCTTGTGGGCTGGCCGTCACGGGAGACAAGAAGGCAGGCGATGTGCTCAGCGGCAGTGTTCCCTCTAAGCTGAGTTAGTGTGAGCTAGCTCACAGTTTTTTTAGCCTCTGGCTCACACATTTTTATTTTAGCTCAGGAAGGATAGCTCCAGAGCGAACTAATTTGTGCAGCGGCCCAATAGCTCGCTCGCAACTTTAATGCCAGAAGCTCACAAAGCAGAATTTTTGCTCACAGGACTCCACAGCTTAGAGGGAGCCTTGCGTGGCCGAATTATTTTCCTACCTGTACTTTGCATCTCTGTATTCCTTGCCCATCATTTGTTCTCTTAAACTTTGGGACCTTTCTGTGAAAGAGAAGCTTTGTTTCGTGCTGGCAGCAGATGCCGAAGGGCTTCAGACCCTTTTTCTCCCCCCACCCCACCCCACCCCACCCTTCCTCAGAGGAAAACAAGTCTGGCCTGTGTGTGTTGGGATGCAGGAAGAATTTGAAATTCAATTCTGGGGGATCTGCACCAAGTGAAACTCAGTTCTGCAACCTGTGTACATCGTTTCAGTTAGGTTTAAGTGAAGTTTTGCTTAGAACAGAAGCTGCATTCGCTGGAAGCCCCTCGTGCCTTTGTTTCCTTGGCTTGGGTAATTGCACGATACGCTGTCCACACACCCCGCAATCAGAAGAACTTGGAACTTCCTCCCGATTTATTTTTTCTCCTTTTTCCCCCCTTTGTATGTTTTTAAGCCAAAGTACTAGTTTTCGGTGAGTAAATTCTGTGCCCAGTTCTGCCCCCTGGAAAAACTGGGGCATGCACAGCACACAGCCCTGAAGGAAAGGGGTCTTTGTCAGTACAGCCGATCTGACCAAGCAGGGAGCCCATCTCCATTTCCCTTCTTCTTCTCATCAGGAGCTCTGGGAATACTCCTTGCCAAGGCTTCCAAATTAAATCCCAGGCCGTAATCAATTGTAGCTCGTGAGTGGCAGCCAGCCAGACGTCTGGTGGTGGAACTGTGTGAGAGGAGGGCAGTCTCTCTTTCTCTCTCCCTCTCCCTCCTTTGATTTTTGTAAAATGCAGCTGTGCTTTGGGGGCTTGGGGTGGATCAGGGCCCTGGGTGGGATAATCCTGGCTACCTGTATTAGCCAGAAGGAGAGGCCCCTCTGTTTGATCACTTAAGGGTGCCACTTCTCCACTGCCAGCCAGAAAAGCAGACAGGCCCCCTTCTTCTGTTTAAATTGCCGGGCAGGGTACACGCCTTGTATCAAGCACCTGTGCTGATGTTCTGCAAGCCCTTCCTTTGGCACTGCAGAAATCCCTGGAACGGCTTCTTATTTCCCCCCCCCCCCCCCCGGCTGACTAACTGTGCAGTCCTAAGAAAAGTTATTCCATTCTCAGCCCATTTATTTTAATGGACTGAGACTGGTGTAACTCTGTTTTAGGATTGCATTGTAACTCTTCTGACTTAGTGGTTCAGTTGTGCTGTGTTTCTGTTCACCATCCTAAGAAAACTCGGAAACAAGGGAGCGTATCTTGATTTGTTTTGAAAGGGAGGCCCAGTTCAGAAAATTGTGTTAAATTAATCGTATGTTGGATTATATGCAATCAGTTCAGTTTGTGTTGTGAAAAAAGTCAGGAAGAAAAGAACCTGGATTTTTGGCTGCTGTACAAAGGTCACTCTAAAAGAGGCATGGGTGCAAGAGAGGTGCCACTTCTAAGACAGTACCTGCCACCTGTAATTTTGGAGATCTGAAACACTTGAAATCGACTGCCCGACTGAATTGCTGGAATTGCTCTGTCCAGTCAGTGCCTCCGTTTGAGGCTCTCTGCTTCCAAAGGAGAGGAATTTGCAGTGCGTTCTCCTGCGTTCAGTGGCATCTCAGTCTAGAGGAGTTCCCCTGAGGAGCAGGCTCCACCGGGGATTTGCTTTCCCCCTTAACTTTGGCCAAGCCTGGAGAGGCTCAGACAAAAAGGAACAGCATGCCTTTGAACACGTGCGTGGGAGGCATTGTGCCTGCCTCAGACAGGACTTCATGGGGCTGAGTGGACACAAAGCCCTGTGTCTGAGTCTCAGAGTCCCAGACGGTGTGATCTGCATCTTAATAGACAAAAAATCAATTAAACAATCTTAGCAAATCCTCCTTAGCTTGAGGGGGGGGGGCTCCAGCGAACTCCTGCTTTATTACATCTCCAGCAGTCTCTTGCAGCCTCAGGCTTGGGGGGGGGGGACCCTTATTTGAAAGGGTTTCTTTTTGTCCACCTCCGAGGTGGATTGTCTGCCCCAGCCGATAGGCTTGGATGTGCAGAGCAGAACTGGGGGAAGCTTCAACAGTGTGACCAAACAGGCAGAGCGGGTAGAAAGCAAGGCTCGATCTCTTTAGGAGGTGGAAATCTTCGTGAGTCTTGGCAAACCATTGTGCTTCACTTTAAAAATGGCCGGGATGCTGTTATCTTTTCCTTTGGCAGCTGGATTTCACACCCAGTTTTTAACGTGTTTTTTTTTTTTGCGCGCTGAAGAGCTTAATGCCATTCCGCAAAAGTGAGAAGAGCACTCCCTGCTTGGTGTTCTCCCGGCTCTGTTCCTGCCTCCTTCCCTTCTTGCAGGTCGCTGGAGGCCCAGGTGTGCCCTGCAGACTGTGAAGCTCATTGGCTCCTGCATCCATCTCTCCCCCCGCCCCCCCCCGCGTGTGTTTTTCTGCCTGAGCGGGAACGAGGTCAGAGTGTGTTCTGACATTCGTGTGGACAATTGCTGTCAGGGCGTCTAGACAGCCCAGATAAGGATATTAGAAGCTCACAATGGAGCCCATTGTTGAGGGGTCAGGGAATCGGTCAAACCCCCGTTAGTCTCCCCCCCCCCAGTGTTTGTCAGGTATATGGGATGGCCGACCAGTTGTCTGGTTGCC